AAAAGAAAAAGGCCCTCATTTTGATCTAAACTTAGGTGGCTATTATTATTATTATTATTATTATTTGCCAAAGGGTGGTAATTAATTGAAAATGAATTTGTAAAAACCACTTTCGTCAAAGGCACATATAGAAATATAGCTACTTATTTAAACCAAAGATGAAATAAATGCATAAAAAATTAGGCAGTTTTGAGTTTCGAACCCTTACTTATTTAAACCAAAGATGAAATAAATGCATAAAAAATTAGGCAGTTTTGAGTTTCGAACCCGTGTTCCTTTTCATCGCAAGAAAGTAGCGAAACACTACTGTAAGTGACAACTTATGACAGATATCCAGTTTTATATTTTTATACGCTTACTGGACATATAATAATAGAAATTAAATTTTTTTGTGCCCCCGATTTTTTGAGGCCCTGTGCAGTCGCCCTGGCTGCCTTAGGCTAAGGCCGGGCCTGATTAACATCAACCATTGATCTCAGATCGAACGGTTAATATTAAATCAGTTTTTTTATTACCGTTGGAAATCGGACGGCTCGTATTAAAGAGTCGTTGGGATCGAACGGACCTTGGGAAGCCACGTGGCTTCCCAATGGTCACTGCGCGCGGGTCATTCACTCTGAAATGTGTCGGCTGATGCGCCCCCACACGCGCATGAGGGGCACGCGCCTGACACAAAAATAAATTAAAAAAAGGACCGACGCCAGGCATGGCGTCAGCCTGACATCACACCCCTCGAGCTGAAGGGCTGGCAATCCCTCACGGGCCTGGCCCTCTAGCCCTTTCCTCTCGCCTGTCCCCCGAGCAAGGTTCAACGGTGGACTTGCTCTAAGGTCCACAACTATCATCCTTGGAAGTTGGTTGCACTACGTTTGATGCCTATTGAATCAGATTACACACACCAGAAAGAAATATATATATACAATAATATTATTCTCAGGCTGAGCGAAATGCATTTTGGAAGGACATTATTGCCAGTTTATTATGAGGTTAAATTCACTTTCATCTCTTTTTTAGTGTCTATAATATCGTTGTTAAAAAAAAAGAGTTTTAACAAAAAGCTCACGGTACTGTTCACTTTAACGAAAAACCACATTTTTACACTAGAAAGTCAAACCTGGTACTATTCACTTTACCCTTTATTTTGTCCTTATCGTTAAAACTCAAAGTTTTCAAGTCATTTTCATTAGTTTTCCTTAAAAAAAATCATTAGACAACTAATTTAATCACATTATTATCTGCGTACGAAAGACTTTTTTTATAACCGGCATAACACGCCTCTTAAAATGTTTGGAACGTATTTAAAAATAGAGATAATATTTAATTAACAGCTGATTGAATCACCTAAGCTTCAACAAAAATATGTGAACAAAAATGCATCCAAGACAAAAAACTAAAGGCATCTCAAAATAAGGCATCAAATAATGTAAGGGTATTTTCATCATTTTAATCGTGTTTTTTAATAATTATTTTTTTGTACTATTTTTTTAATTAGTACCTCACACTAGGTTAGCAATAATGTGATTCAATCAGCTATTCATTAAATATTATTTTCTTTATTTTTAAACATGTTCAAAATATCTTAAGATGTATGTAATGCCGGTTATAAAAAAGATCTTTCACACGTGGATAATAATGTGATTAAATTAGTTGTCCAAAGATTGTTTTTTCTATTTTTTTTTTATAATAAATGATATTATCTACACTAAGGGGGATGAGGTTGGCTTAGCCTCACAATGGATTAGTAATAATGTAATCAGTTGTTTATTAAATATTATTTTCTCTATTATTAATGTAAATTATATAGAGACCGATTTTATTATGTGGATTCAGTTGCTTAATTGGTTTATGAGGGGTTTTTTCTAGCATGATATAAGATTATTCATTTACTCCAAATATTTGACTTTCCTTTTGTCAATTTACGCATATAAATACACGTCGTGATTCTCGTATAATGCCGGTTATAAAAAAGGTCTTTCGCACGTAGATAATAATATGATTAAATTAGTTATCAAATGATTGTTTTTTTTAAACAAAAAAAAACAAACAATATTATCTACACTAAGGAGAATGGGGTGGGCTTAGCCTCACAATGAGATAGCAATAATATGATTCAATTAGTTGTTTATTAAAATATTATTTTCTCTAATCTTAATGTAAATTCTATAAAGACCAATTTTATTATGTGGATTCAGCTACTTTAAGTAGTTTATGAAGGTTTTATTCTAGCATGATCTAAGATTATTCATTTACTTTAAATATTTGACTTTTCTTTGTCAATTTATGCATATAAATACATTTAAAATGTGTAAGTCACGCGTAGCACGCCGTGATTCAAAAAATGTCTTTTGCATGCACGTGAGCACGTGCATGAATGCTAGTATATATAAAGCTAAGGGCTCAATGAACAATATTGTTTTGGTGTCACAAGCTTCACAAAAAAAATTGGATAAAAATGCCACTCAAACAAAAAACTTCAAAAGCTACCCAAAATAATGCATCAAATGTGGCTGGGGTATTTTTTCCATTTTAACAGTGTCTTTTTAATAATTAATTTTTTTGTACATTTTTTTAATAATTAGTATCTCACAATAAACTAGCAATAATGTGATTCAATCAGTTGTTCATTAAAAATTATTCTCTCTATTTTTAAACACATCCAAAATATCTTCAGAGACGTGTAATGCTTGTTATAAAAATGGTCTTTCTCACACGGATAATCATGTGATTAAATTAGGTGTCAAATAATATTTTTTTTTAACAAACGATATTATATACACTAAGAGGGAGGGGTGGGCTTAGCCTCACAATGTGCTATCAATAATGTGATTCATTCAATTGTTTCTTAAATATTATTTTCTCTCTTCTTAATGTAAATTCAATAGAGACCAAATTTATTATGTGAATTCAGCTGCTTTAATTATCCAAGGGCCCAATGAACAACATTTTTTTTGTGTCACAAGCTTCACAAAAAAAAAAAAAAAAAGGACTCAAATGACCCTCAAATAAAAAACTTCAAAAGCAACCCAAAATAATGCATCAAATATGGTAGAGGTATTTTCGTCATTTTAATAGTGTTTTTTAATAATAATTTTTTGTACAGTTTTATTAAATAATTAGTACCTCATAATAGGCTAGCAATAATGTGATTCAATTAGTTCTTCATTAAATGTTATTTTCTCTATTTTTAAACACGTTCAAAACATCTTAAGAGGTGTGTAATGCCGATTATAAAAAGGATCTTTCGCATGCGGATAATAATGTGATTAAATTAGTTGTCAAATGATTGTTTTTTTTTTTTGAACAAATGATATTATCTACACTAAGAGGGATGGGGGTGGGCTTAGCCTCATAATAGGCAAGTAATAATGTGATTCAATCAGTTGTTTCTTAAATATTATTTTCTCTATTCTTAATGTAAATTCAATAGAGATTGATTTTATTATGTGGATTCAACTGCTTTAATTGGTTTATGAGGGGGTTTTGTAGCATAATCTAAGACTATTCATTTACTTCAAATATTTGACTTTTCTTTTGTTATTTTACACATATAAATATATTTAAAACGTGTAAGTCGTGCGTAGCACGCCGTGATTAAGAAAATACCTGCATGCGTGCATGAACGCGTGCATGAAGGCTAGTATATATTATATATTGGAAGTAAAATACAATTCCCAAACTTTACCAATCTCAACTACTTTCTTATTTTTTAATTTTCCAACATATATATGGAGAGTGTGTGATTAGCAAACCAATCACGAAGTGGTGAGGTCTAACATTATATAAACCGATGAGAGAATTTTTACTCATCACCATAACTATGATGTATGCTTACCATATGCCTAATTATCTGCCACATGTTATTTCACTTAGCTCTAGTTAACTTTCACATTAGATATTTAGTTTTTCAACTTTGAAAAAAAATTAACCAAAATTAAGTGAAAATACACGTGATGGATGATTAGGTGTATGGTGGGCATACACCATAGTTATGATGGTGAGCAAAAATGCTCCTATAAACCGATAACCCTAACTAGTGGTTTCCTTATAGGTAATGCTAGAGAGACTAAACGTTTAAACTAAATTTGCAAACTAAATAATGTGTCTCCAATAAAAAAATAAGCACGTTAATCAAAACTTAAGTAATAATCCAATAATCAACAACCATAATTCATTTAGTTTACAAATTTTAGTTTAAAATTTTAGCCTCCCATTACTCTTTTCTTATTATTTACCAATAATGCTAGTGAAACTAAATTTGTTGACATAATTGGCAAGCTAAATGATGTTCACAAATATAAAATGAACACGTTTATCAACACTTAAGTAATGATCAAATTATCAACTTATGTCATTCAATTTACAAAATTTTATCTACAAATTTAATCCCTACCATTACTCTTACCCTAATATTTCTTTTATTAAATATATATCCAACTATTTAATCAATTTTCTGCATAATAGCGGCTAAGAGAAAATGTAATTAGACCATAATTTCACACCACATGATGCGGCTAATGGAGTGGCTATGCCACATCATATTACCAATTATTTAGATTGTCGTTGCAATGTCATCAGCTGGTTCTATTTTTTAAGGTAACAAAATATCATAGCACAATTTAGATGATGATCCGAAGAAATAAAGATGGTCAAAACATGGATGAAGTTCCCACAGAGAGAAAAAAAGATGTCAAACCGGCTATAACAAAACAAAAATCATGTTTCCCTCACAATATATTGCAACATCCTTTTCAACTAAATCAAATTGGAACCTAAAATTATAGAATTTGGTAGTGCCCGCGCGGTTCTAAGAAATCCGTAGCTCATGGTGTAACCACAATCCTCCCGGCAACATGGTCAAGATCGCATTGACCGCTAGATGTGATTCTCCTCCCTCTGTCACAAGTTCAAAGTTCAAACCAAAGGTCAAAATTCAAGCAAATGTTGCTAAACACAAAGCTTACGTCGAAACCCAGTTTATAGATGATATATAAAGGAAGCACTCACCCCTTTGGGTCAACATCAACGATGTTCATTTTCTGTAACTGTTGGAGAATGTGTCGGGCAATAGCACCACTGCTCTCGCAGAAATGTGGTGGACGACTACCATTCCTCTGGCTTCCACCATAAATCCTGCGGAAGGCACCAACACCGAGTCCTCCCCTCAAGTAGATCTTCCTTGCCATCGAGGCTGCACGTTATTGAAAGTCACATTGTCAATACCACAAACAACAACACATTTGAGAAACATACACAAATAAGTACAATGACAATCAAAAGCAAAAGAATGCTCACCAGCTCTGACATAGTACCAGTCAGGATCATAAGGAGCCAACTCCTTGAATCTTGTGGTCTTAACGATATAAGTCCATGGAGGAAGCTCAACCTGCTCACAAACATCAAAAGAACAAGCAAATCGCAAAGAATTACAGAAAATCGCAGATAAGTACACACTCGAAATAAGCAAATCACAGAAAATTACACCTCCAAAAAATTTGAAAATCCTAAATGAACTTAATGATAAACCTACATTTCCTCCAGGTCAGCACACCACTCCATGTCAGCAATCCATGCAGTTCGAACTACCTGAGTCATGTGTTGCTAAGCCATGTGCTGCTGACTTGAAATGATTATTCTAAATGGAAGCCATGAATCCTTGTCGAAGATGCTGATGAAGATGGACAGAAGAATATTGTATAAACTCACACAGCTAGACAAACACTTTCTGGTAGTTGTTTATTGCATGCGTGGCTTTTATTATTGCATGCGTGTATGTAAATCTTGTATAAAGAACATGCTGCTGTTGAAGAGCAGCAAGGACTGAATTCAATTGAGTTGAGTTTATGAAATCAGTCTCTATAAACCTAGTTTAAATTCTATCATGGTATCAAAGAGCTGAAAGTCTCACGACACAACCATTTCTTTTTCCCATGGCTTCTCAATCTACTTCTCTTACCCTCCCAAATGCTTCCCATTTTCTCACCATCAAACTTGATCGTACCAACTACCCCATTTGGCAAGCTCAAATGCTTCCACTTCTTCGTAGCCGAAACCTTGTTTCCTTTATCGATGGAACCAGTCCATGTCCTTCTGCATTCTTGAAAGATGCGGATGGTAACCTCACTGACGCAGTCAATCCTGCGTTTGACATCTGGGTTCAACAAGATGCCACAGTCCTGTCGTGGATCAACTCCTCCGTTCACCCCACTATTCTTGCTGCCTTAATTGGGAAAACTAGCTCCCATTCTGCCTAGACGACCTTACGTGACCGCTATGCTTCGCAGTCCACCGGTCGTCTCCTTCAGCTTCGTAGTGAGCTGATGAATACTCATCGAGGTGACTCTTCCATTTCTGAATTCTTGGATAAGATTAATTGTCTTGCAGATACTCTCTCTCTCTGGTGCTCCCGTTTCAGATTCGGACATCGTTGCCATCATTCTTAATAATGTTGGTCCTGCTTATGAAAGCACGGTTGCCTCCGCCCAAGCCCGTGACGAGGCGATTACGTACAGTGCTTTGGAAGCACTCCTTCTTGGTGCTGAACGCCGCCAGAAAATGCATTCTGCTTTCACTACAGATACCGGCCCTACTGCATTTGCAGCCACCCGTAATGGTGGTCGTCCATCTCCTCCCTTTAGAGGCCGTGGCTCCTCCTCCGGGTTTCGAGGTCGTGGCAATGGCGGTCGTAGCTCCTTTTCCCTTCACGGATCATCCCATGGCTCTCCATCTCGCCAACCTGATGACCTCCTTGGTCTTGCTCCCTCTCAGACCTCCTTTCCTAATGGCAGGCTTCAATGCCAAATTTGTACTCGCTATGGCCATTCCGCAATTGACTGCTACAACCGTCTTAACATGTCCTATGAAGGGCGCGTTCCAGCATCAAAGCTTCAAGCTTATGCTGCCAGTGCTCCCACCATCCAAAATTGGCTTTTCGATTCTGGAGCCAATGCCCACATAACCAATGATCCTGCTCAGGTGACAAATGCTCGACCATATCATGGTACTGATCAAGTGAATGGCGTCGTTGGATGAATAGGTTTAAAAATCTCTCATGTTGGTAACACTTGCATTCGTACACCCCAAGCCCTTTTTCATCTCCCACACACATTACTTTGCCCTAATGCATCCACTAAAATCATTTCCATTCATCGCTTCACCACTGATAATAATTGTTCTCTAACTTTATTCCCACACGCCTATCGTGTTCAGGACCTTCACACGGGGAAGATGCTTTTCCACGGCCGGAGTAACAATGGATTCTACCCCTTCTCAACAGTTTCATCATGCACTAAAGGAGTATCTGCATTCATAGGTGCTAGGGTGTCCAATTCCATTTGGCACTCTAGATTAGGTCATCCATCTTTTCATGTTTTGAAAAGTTTAATTTCTAGCAATAAGTTGCCTATCAATGGCGTTGTAACAAGAGCATTTTGTCAGTCTTGCCCTCTGGGCAAAAGTCACAAGTTACCTTTTCGTTTATCTAATTCAAAATCGTCATTTCCTTTGCAATTGGTCCATTCAGATGTATGGACTTCTCCTACTGTTTCAATTAATGGATTTAAATACTATGTGGTTTTTATCGATGATTTCTCTCGATATTCTTGGTTGTATCCATTAAAATTCAAATCTGATGTCTTTTCTACATTTGTTGCTTTCAAGAAATTAGTTGAAAATATGTTTAATACCACCATTAAATCTTTTCAAACTGACGGGGGAGGTGAGTATCTTAGTAACAATTTCAAAGCTTTCTTGACTCATCATGGTATTCATCATCGCTTATCTTGCCCACATCATCCCGAACAAAATGGAATTTCAGAGCGTAAACATCGCCATCTTGTTGAAACTGGCCTCACTCTTCTTGCCCATTCCTCATTGCCCACATCCTTTTGGGATGATGCATTTCATACCGCCAATTATTTGATAAATCGTTTACCCACTAAGGTTTACATAATGACTCTCCCTTTCAAAAACTCTTTCACAAATCTCCTCAATATGATTTCCTAAAGGTTTTTGGGTGTGCAGGTTTTCCATATTTTCGACCATATAATAGTAATAAACTTCAGTTTCGTTCCAAACGTTGTGTTTTTCTTGGCTACTCTTTAAATCACCAAGGTTATAGATGTCTTGACATGTCTACAGGAAAATTTTTTGTGTCTCGTCATGTTGTATTTGATGAAACTTGTTTCCCATATAAAGAATCCATTACTCCCGTGTCTCCATCACCAACCATTTCCACCGACACTATGAGATTAGACATAGGTCCATCCCTCCCATACGGCCCACAGTCACCTCCCATCCCTCCTAACCCTACTCCACCACCTTTACCCTCAACCGTCACTCCCACGCCTACCCCTCCCTTAATATTACCTATCCCTACTCCTCCTATATCTACTCCTCTAGGACCCACGAATGCAAGTCACATTCCTTCTACATCCTCTTCTTCTCAGAGGATCCTTCCACCTACTCATTCTATGACCACACGTGCCAAGGATGGGATTCACAAACCTAATCCCAAATATGCATTTACTTCTACTGTCACTAATCCTGTGCTTGAGCCTACTTGTTTTACCCAGGCTAACAAATCTCCAGAATGGCGCCAGGCCATGGCAGAAGAGTTTAATGCCCTCTTACGCACTGAAACATGGTCATTAGTTCCCTTTGTTCCCTCTATGAATGTGTTTCCCAATAAATGGGTATATCGGATTAAACGACATTCTGATGGTTCAATACAGCGGTATAAGGCTCGATTAGTCGCCAATGGCTATCACCAACAAGATGGTATTGATTATGACGAGACGTTCAGTCCGGTAGTTACTCATGCAACCATTCGCCTCGTCCTCTCAGTTGCTCTTCACTTCAACTGGCCTATCAGACAACTTGATGTTCAGAATGCTTTCTTACATGGTTCTTTAGCAGAGGTTGTTTATATGCGGCAGCCTGTAGGATTTGTGGACTCTCAGTTTCCAAATCATGTTTGTCGCTTGCACAAATCACTATATGGTCTCAAACAGGCACCCCGTGCCTGGTTTCAATGTTTCTCCCACCATCTTGAAGATCTAGGGTTTCAGGCATCCCTCACAGATTCGTCGTTGTTCACATATTTTAATAGGTCCACTGTCATTTACTTATTGATCTACGTTGATGACATCCTTGTTACGGGTAATAACCCTTCTCATATCTCTCAGCTTATTCAACAACTTGGTCAAAAGTTCTCCATGAAGGACTTAGGTCCTTTGCATTATTTTTTGGGCATGGAAGTTCAGCGGACACCCACTGCCATGTATCTTACTCAATCCAAGTACATCCTGGACCTTCTCAAAAAGACAAATATGTGTGATGCAAAACCTCTCACCACTCCCGCTACCACTGGACGCAAGTTAAGTCTCTATGAAGGTGAACCTTTATCTGATGGCACACTTTTTCGAAGTATCGTTGGCGCTCTCCAATACCTTCTCTTCACGAGACCGGATATTGCTTTCGCCGTCAATCAGGTCTGTCAATATATGCATTCTCCCACCACTACTCACTGGGCTGCTGTAAAACGCATACTTCGATACTTGAAAGCCACTCCTGATCACGGCATTGTTTATAAACCTAGCTCTCTCACCCTCACTGCCTTTGCTGATGCCGATTATGCCGAGGATCCTGACGATCGGCGCTCAACTGGGGGCTATTGCATTTTTCTGGGTGATAATCTCGTCTCTTGGAGCTCCAAGAAACAGCGCGGGGTGTCTCAATCCAGCACTAAGGCCGAGTACAGACAGCTGGCTTATACGGCAGCCACTTTATCTTGGTTCCGCCATATCTTTCGTGACCTGCACCTTTCTCTTTCTCCACCACGGTTGTGGTGCGACAATATCAGTGCCCTTGCTGTTGCCTCTAATCCTGTATATCAGGCGCGAATGCGACACGTTGAAGTTGACTACCACTACGTTCGCGAAAAGGTCGTCCGCAAAGAACTACAAGTTGGCTATGTTGCCACTGCTGATCAAATTGCAGACTTTCTCACCAAAGGTCTGTCCTCTCCTCGTTTCCGTTATCTACTATCCAAGCTTCCCGTGCGTCACGCCCGCTTCGCTTGCAGGGGCGTGATAAACCTACATTTCCTCCAAGTCAGCACACCACTCCATGTCAGCGATCCATGCAGTTCGAACTACCTGAGTCATGTGCTGCTAAGCCATGTGTTGCTGACTTGAAATGATTATTCTAAATGGAAGCCATGAAACCTTGTCGAAGATGCTGAAGAAGATGGACAGAAGAATATTGTATAAACTCACACAGCTAGACAAACACTTTCTAGTAGTTGTTTATTGCATGCGTGGCTTTTATTATTGCATGCGTGTATGTAAATCTTGTATAAAGAACATGCTGCTGTTGAAGAGCAGCAAGGACTGAATTCAATTGAGTTGAGTTTATGAAATCAGTCTCTATAAACCTAGTTTAAATTCTATCACTTAACTGAACCAAAACTCAACAACTGTAAGTAAAATGAACACAGCAGCTTCCTATAGAACACAACAAAAATCATCCAGAACAGCATAATCTACCACGAGATCTTATTACTTCAAAAAGATTTGTACATTACGAAACTGTTAGTTTATAACACAGTGACCACCAAATCAAAAAATTATTTGGAGATTGAAAATGATTGACTAACTTAGGTTAGGTTGTATTCTGGTTCGAATTTCAGAGCTCTGAATCTTCTAGCACAGTGGGAGGAACGAGATGGAAGATGAAGCTGCAACAGAGAGCCACTAGTGCTAAGCCATTCAAGCTAAGAACAGAGGTTAATTGTGCTGAAAATGGATGGTATCAAAAAGTGCTCGAAAGTTTACTTGCATTCGCATTGCTTCTAACTTTGTTTGGTGATCACAATGCAGGAAAGGGGAAGACAAAAGGAGGAAGAGTTCGTGAAGAAGTTACAAGAGATGATGATGGAGGAGAAGAGGCAGCGGATACCAATTGCTCAGGGCCTCCCATGGACAACTGACGAACCAGAGGTATAGATACAAATTCGGTGTTCGAAATCACATGAAGATGACTATATTTAAGTGATTTATTGCTATTGCAAGAAAGACAAGACTGAACCACTAACTTGCATGCATACCTTTGGTGTTTGTCATCTCAGTGCTTGCTGAAACCTCCGGTAAAAGAAATTACAATACCAACCGACCTGAAGCTCCACAGTGACATGCGGGCAGTAGAGCGAGCTGAGTTTGACCATCAGGTGATTTCAAATTCTTGAGCATTGAGAATATGCGCTTGTCTTTATATGTTCAATCATTCTGCTCAGTAGTGCATGCAAACTATGTGTGTGGCAAAGTTGTTTTATCGGTGCCTTTAGGAACACTTCTAAATTTAAGGACTCCATGAAGTTACTCTTAGTACATAAGAAATGACTACAATGTCACTTTGGAGATATATATGACAAATGACTTGTATGGATGATGTCGGTTGGTATGCTGGGCATGTGATTATATTTCAAGAGACTCGATAACAAATTCCTTTTGTGAAATTGGTTTTGTTTTTGTGTGCACTATCAGGTGGCAGAGAAGATGAGCCTGTTTGAGCAATACAAGATGGAAAGAGAGAGACTGCAGAAGGTAAAGAGTTATTGCACTTGATGAGCTTTCTATTATCATAGTTATTCTCGACCTGAAATATGAGTTTTGTTATTGTTTTTTCTCTTGCAGTTGGCAGAAGAGGAGGAAATAAGAAGATTGAGAAAGGAGCTTGTCCCAAAAGCACAGCCGATGCCCTACTTTGACAGGCCTTTCATTCCCAGAAGGTAACACTTCATTGATCTGATTGTAAACCGATCATACATAGACCCTTTCTCCTCTTGAAGTTTCTTGCATGTCAAGATAAAACAATATCATGATTGGAATACTCTCATTTTGGAATGACAAGGGTGATTCAAAAATCGTTTTCGTAATATGCAGAAAAAGAAAGTGCAGATAATTTTTGGAATCCATCCCTGCAAAGCGGGTCGATAAAATCTCTTATAAAGTTACACTGATTTACACTGATTCTGGCTTTGTAGGATTTACAGTTATCATGTAATCTGTGGTTCTTTAACTTTCTGCTTTGAAGTTTTAAGGGAGACTAAATATGGTTTCAGTTCCTCCAACAGCGTAGTCTATCCCGTCAAATGTTCTATATTGAGCCAGACATATTCTGATATTCATTGTATTTATAAGTAGGACGTAATACAGTTTTCTGACGTCGTGCTTACGTTTCTTCGTTGTTAGGTCAATGAAGCATCCAACTATACCGAAAGAACCGAAGTTTCATGTGCCTCAAAACAAGAAGATCAAGTGCTGCTTGTCATGGAACGATATGAGCTCCTACACTTACGAACATTGAAGCCTGAAGAAGAAGACGAGAAAGAACCCTTAATCTGTTTCTCCTTAGCCTTGTTCATTCCCCCTTTCGTATTAGTGACCGTTAATCATGTCTTTTAAATTTTTAATCCTGTATATGATTTGTAAGCAACTAGTTTAGTTGTGATTTTTCCACCATTAATTTGTTTCTTTGAAAGATCTTTTTTAAGAGGTACAAAGATAATCTTATGGTGCGACAATCATTCTTTTCAAATGAAATTTAGGGGGGTGTATTCAATTGGGATTTTAAGGGATTTTAATTCTTTTAATGAATCTAGGGGGTATTCAATCAGGAATTCAAGTGATTCTCTAAAATTTTAGGTGTATTCAATTAGAATTTTAAGATAGTTTTTTAAAATCCTTAGAAATCTGGATGTATTCAATTAGAATTTTTAAAAAGTTTATAACATTCCAGGTGTATTCAATTAGAAATTGATTTTAAAGAATTTGAGAAAGTTGAGGAATTAGAGGGAATTGGAGAGATTTCGTAGTGTATTTTAAGTATCCATAAATCTCACCTCTTGCCATGAGATTTCAAGGGAATTGAATCAAAATTTTATATGGAATCTCTACAAATCAATTAAACTCCATAAAAATCTATGGATTTATAAATCCATTAAAATCTCTCACATTCTCAACTATCAAGATTCGGAATAAACCAATTTGATCTCTCTTAGTCTTAGATGATGAAAATTTCATACATTTGTAATAAAAGTATTTATGCATTTATTTTCAAAAAAGAAACAAACTCACAAAGTATTTATGTATTTACTTGGAAAAGGAGGAAATTATAATTAGAGTATTGAGAATCTATGAGGATCAAATGCATATTAGCCACAAAAATTAATTTACATTTAAAGGCTTAAAATATTTGACAATTTAATAAAGCAAAATCAACTTAAAATCCATAAGCCATTTAAAAACTCAATTTCTTGTTTTGCTTTATAAAATTGTCAAATATTTTAAGCATTTAGATATAAAATAATTTAATCTTGTAACTAATGTACTAAATTGTACAGAGTTTTGATAACCCCCAAGGACCCGGTAAACCTTTATGTGTATCATGTCCAAGGGGATGTAAGAGGGTTTTTGCTCCCCGGGCTGAGGGTTCTCCGTCTTCAATCGTTGGAAGAGCAAACTTTCTCTTAAGTGAGTGCAGGCACATTTCGCTTAGCAATGACCCTATATCGTATATTCGAAAATGTTGTAGATATTCCTTTGGGAATGGATTTATACAAAGTAAAGATATAGGAGGATCTCCAGGTCTCAATACTGATAGGCTTCCGCTTAACGGGGAAAAATCATTGTTGTGTCAAACCTCACACATAGATTGCAATGTGAAAAATAAAATGCAGTTGACTTCTCAGCTGGCTGGATTTATGGCAATGCTACTGACTGATGTACCTAGTCAGGCCCAGTGGATTGTTGAATTGACAAAATATGATTTTGGAGGTGCAACTGGACATTTAGTCGCTTCTGTTCCTGGAGTTCATTCTTATAAAACTCCCTTTATGTTGGATTCCAGGCACTTCGGGCTTGTAAGTGCTTTCATTTGTGATGTGTGCAGTCCAACATCTACATATATAATTTTTTTTATTTATTTTTTGAATAGGAAAGCTGATCTCCAAATGTCAACACCACCTTAACATTTTCTTATCCAGAACTATAGACATTTGTCTTTTTATTGAATTATTCTCTTTGAATGTGACCCAGAAACTCAGTTGATCCATGGCATTAGGTAGTAATATGTTTCAGTGTTTTTCTTGTAAGTCAAACTTCCACCTCTCCTCCCTAAAGTGATTGCAAGCTCCTTTCTGTGATTTTCATTTTGCCTATGTCCAAGTAATGAGTTTTACATAATTTATTTTACCGTATGGGCAGGGAATTCATTAAATGCCCACCTTTCAAACATACAAAAAAGTCCTAAATAGGATTTAGCTCAATTTTGGTGGTTGCATTTTATCAGTATCAATAGGGAAGACTTCAGATGTTTTTTTTCAGTGACTGCTTGGTCAAACTAGGTTTCTAATTCTGTCGCTAATTTTTATGTCAGGCTGATCATGGTGTGTCATCTGGTGCGAAATTCCTTGGATCTGTTGAAGAAGCTACCTCTTTTGCAATGCCAAAGACTCAAATGGTGCAAAGCTTAAGAAATTGGCTTCATTCCTGAGGAAATCATGTGAACATGCAAAACCTTTATCAATTGTTTTAACAAGAAACACAAATGTTCCTGCAGAAGCAAATGCAGTGAATATTCTTGTTCCTGACTCCAATGAGGGAGGTAAATTCACATTGCTTTAAAAAAACAGTCACTTATAAATTTATTTTTATGTACTTTTGGTATCAGGTGTTGTTTGCATAATATAATTATAAAATTGTATGAATGGGGATTGTTTCTCTTTTATTGCATGCAGAATGATTGTTCTATTTGTCTATCGTGAATCCTCTAAATGTGTGAATGTGGTTAAGTTGTGACCCTTCATGCTGTCGGTTACCTAAGTAGAGTAACTTCTTTGTTTGTTGTAGCTGACTCTGTTCAACTTGGCTTCTTGCCAAGAAATGTTGCAAAATGGGTCACTCCACTGTGGGATATCGGACTCGTCAGCTTCTCTGGTTATATCTGTCCTAAAGAAGCTCTTGCAGCAGCTTTAGGAGGAGGAAACAACAAGAAAGTGCAATTGATACTGCATGTGTCACAGGTATTCTATTCTGCATTATTTATGCTTTGTGGAGTCATGAACTGGAGCTTACTCTAAATGGTAGCACGAAGTCTTGGATTTGGAATGGGCATTTGTTATAAACATAATGCTGCTTTTTGCAGGGACCCAAGTTTGAGGATATATCAAAGATCATGGAATCTCAACATATTTTTGCATTATGCTCTCTGATTGGTGCCGTTCAAAGGTGTACAGGCCTCTGGCGACTGCAGGAGGTAATGGCTCTGATATTCTTAGTTGTCAAATTTCTGAATAGTTTATACTTCCTTGATTAAGTGTTTATATGCAATGGATGCTGTTCAGTGACTTCCTAGTTTATGTTGTTGTTGCAGTATCTTATGCAGTATTTTCTCTTTATCAGGTTTTAGGTCAGTATAAATGGCCCGAATCACTTGACTCTGATTTTGTTTATGGTGAGTGTATCTTATCTTATCTTGAACAATCTTAATCTATTTTAGAATTTGGAAGATATATATCATTAACAAAAAGAGAAACTCCAAAGACATGTTATCTATACTCTTAAAAGTGGGGCTGTTGGAGTGCTAGTCAAGAATCAAAAAGTCCATCCATTAAAATTGTTTTTCCAACCATAAAAAGAGTGAAGAATGCATGCAATGGAATCTTTCCTTCAAAACGCATTCTTTGCTTCTCTGAGGTATGTGATCTTTCAGCTTCTTGCAATATCGGTTTTATCTTATATTTCCGGATTATTATCTGCATTGGTTTAGCACTATTTGTATTCAAGTTTAAAAAGTTATTGTGAATCCGTAACTGTAGGTTAGGAATTTTTTCTTTTTTCAGTGATAAGGTTTAGCCCTTACATCTTACTATTTGTTGACAATGTACAATTTTTTTATTTCCTTAGAAAACATGGCAAAGGCTGAGGACTATAGACATACTTCATGATGCACTTCCTCACCCCTACGATAGAGTAGGACATCCAATGCACAGCAAGGTATGAATTTATCGCAAGAGGCATCTGGCATCTTGTCTTACACTGCCATATGGATAATATTGTAGCATCTTATCTGCATTACATTTCTAATATATGCAGGTGGCACGGAGACGCTTCCACTCAAAGACAGACGGATCTTCATTTGGTTGGGTTTATTGTGGTTCCCATAATTTCAGTGCAGCGGCCTGGGGACGACCAATCAATAGTCCATTTGGTTTAAACATGAACGGACTAGGGAAGGCCAACTCTACTTTGGGTCAGATGCTTCGTATTTGCAACTATGAACTTGGGATCATTTTCACCTTTCCCCCAACAGACACAGATGGTAGCGCCAACAAAAATAGCGCAAAATTGGATAATATTGTTTTGCCATTCGTTGTGCCTGCTCCAAAATACAGGCGAGGAGACAGGCCAGCAACAGGGAAGGCTATGAGGGAGGCATTAGCCGAACTTACTGAACAAGAGAGACAAAGACTTTTAGAAGAAGCTACAACCGAGGAAATTATGGAAGAGACTCCAGACGAAGATGAAGTAGTTGAGGCGGATGATTATGTTGCAGAAGAGAAGGAGGAGGAGAAGGCTTACGCCGAGATACTTTGGAGCCAAGTAGATTCATCCGAGAGCAGTTGAATCTCTATTTGGAGTGAAATGCAATCACCCGGAGCAGAAAGAGTTAAGCACCGCAGCTGCTTATTTATGCAAGAAATCCTGCCATGCATCTCTCATTAAGACATGCATGTTGGAGTTTTAATATAGCCGCAAACATAGATTACGAACATGCATCAAATACTGTGATTGTAGTTCTGACCTTGTGAAGCCATTGATCGCAGGGAAGAAAAGGAAATCTTCTACTCAAGGAGGACCTGATGTTCTTTCTAGAATAGGGCTAGATTTTCTGATATATGAACGTGTTCCTCTTGAGCAGGGACTTATCCTTTTATAAACGTGTAACCACAACCGTTTCCACCTATCACAGAAACTGCTTGGCAAAACTGCACGCTCATTTACATTTCAACGTGGGATATCCACTCACCAACACGTTTAACCCTTAATGTCCTACTTTAAAGGAAAGAAGTTTATTTACCTATTAACTCTAACTGTTCTCAGTTTTCACTAAACACAAAACCCGAATGAGATAAGTTTAGAGTCCAATAAGGTTCCAACATTCTCCCACTTGGACCTAAACTCATCGTCTTTGTTTTGAGCAATGTTTCTACTGACAACAGTTCCTTAGTGATCACATGAGTTAATAAATAAATAAACACATCCTCACACATCCACCATGAATGACTCAAGTCATAGAACTTCAGAAAAGTTTGCACAAAATGGTGCAGCCACTCTGAAATCACTATAACATTCAATTATTCACGTATGATGCTTAAACATGTTAGCTATAAGAGAGCTTTACTGTATGCTCCCACTATTTTTCCCATTACCTTAACGTTGCCTTAGTTAGCAATAATCCAACTTCAACTTTTCTGCATGCTGAAAAAGTAGGATCAAATAGCCACCTGAAAAGCTTTTAAAACAATCAAGCTTTAATGCAGAAATATCACTTATATGATCATAGCTTTTCAGCCAAGTCTCATTAATGATTACCAGCTCAAATCAAAAGCAGTACATGAAATAAATTTAGAATTCATCTATTGCAATAAACAACTTCAAAGCAAATAAGACAAGACTAAGTTTTACTCCCACTTAGTCACGGAATCAAAAGACTCCAGTACCCCCATTTTTGCAACATGCTGCTTGAACACTGCAACTGGTAATGGTTTGGTGAGGGGATCTGCTATCATCAAACCAGTGTCAATATGCTCAATTACCACCAAACCACTTTTGACATCCTCTCTGACAGATCGATATTTGATGTCCATCAGTCTATTTGCAGAAGACTGCTTGTTGTTCTTAGAGATGAATACAGCAGCTTTGTTATCGCAGTGTATAACAATTGGTCTTGAAATACTGTCCACGATTCCCATTAGACTGACCAAAATCCTTGATCCACAGTGCTTTCTGTTTGGCTTCAAAAACAGCAATATATTCAGCTTGCATGGTCGATGTCGCAAGCGTCTTCTGTTTTGCACTTCTCCACGAGATTGCTCCTCCAGCTATGAAGAACAGATAACCACTTGTGGACCTTCTGTCATCTGTGCAGCCTGCAAAATCCGAATCAGAGTACCCTACCACCTCTAGGTTTTCACTCTTTCCATACACAAGCATGTGTGATTTTGTTCTTTGCAAATATCTCATTACCTTCTTAGCTGCCACCCAATGTTGTTCTCCAGGATTTGATTGATACCTCCCAAGTACACTAATTGAGTAAGCTAAGTCAGGTCTTGTACAAACCTGAGCATACATCAAGCTTCCTACCAATGAAGCATAGGGTTTGTTCAACATGGTTTTCCTCTCCAAGTCATTTTTGGGACATTGCTCCTTGTTCAGTTTGTCACCTTTGCTCATTGGGACTTCTCCTCCTGAACATCCTTCCATGTTGAAACGTTTTAATATTTTCTCAATGTATGACCTTTGCGAAATCCCTAGCAAGTTTCTTGACCTGTCTCTTTTAATCTCTATGCCGAGAACAAAAGAGGCCTCTCCCAAGTCTTTCATATCGAAGGTATTGGACAACAACAACTTGGTTTCAAGCAACAGGTTCAAATCATTGCTTGCAAGAAGTATATCATCAACATAAAGTATAAGGAAAATGAACTTGGAACCAATGCTTTTGAAATAAATGCAATCATCAACCTTATTCTCAGTGAAGCCAATATGAGTTACCTTTTCATCAAATTTCATAAACCACTGTCTTGATGCTTGTTTTAGACCATATATAGACTTGCTCAATCTGCAAACTAGATGTTCTTTGCCCTCTTCAATGAAACCAGGAGGTTGGTTCATATAAATTTCCTCTTCCAAGTCACCATTTAGAAATGCCGTTTTGACGTCCATTTGGTGTAGTTCCAAGTCAAAGTGTGCCACGAGTGCTAAGATTATCCGCAAGGAATCCTTGGACGACACGGGAGAAAATGTTTCATTATAGTCTACCCCTTCCCTTTGAGTGAAGCCTTTAGCCACCAATCTCGCTTTGAACCTTTCAACCTTCCCTTTCGAATCTCTCTTAGTTTTGTACACCCATTTGCATCCAATGGGTATCATAGATTCTGTCTTCTCTACGAGGGTCCACACCTGATTAGAATGCATAGACCTTATCTCCTCTTCCATTGCTCGCTGCCATGATAAAGAGTTTTCACTTTTAATTGCATGCATGAAAGTTGCTGGATCAGTCATTATACCTTCATCATGCTCAACTTCACAAAAGTAAGTGATATAATCTTCTGGAATAGCCGATCTGCGAATTCTTTGTGAGGCTCTTCTTGGTGCTTCCAAGGCAATTAGTAACTCATTAGCATTAGGTTCAACTATTGGTCCATCTTGTTGTGGTTCATCTATTTGATAACCCTCTGCAGCATTATTTTCACGTGATGGCTGCGAGAAACTAGTTTCAAAAACTATAGTTTCTCCAAGGCTTTGACTCCCTTCATCATTATTGCTCGACACATCAGTGGGATTCCCAAGATCCTGAAAAACAAAACTGCTTGCATTTTCATCACCATTTACTTCTTCCTCGATGAACTTTGCATTGTTAGTCTCAAAAACCCTAGTCTGCAAGTGTGAAGCATAAAACTTGTATCCTTTAGACCTCTCAGGAAAGCCAATAAAGTGACAACTCACTGTTCTTGAATCAAGTTTCTTTTCATGTGGATTATACATTCTTGCTTCTGCCCTACAACCCCAAACATGTAGATGATTGATGCTAGGTTTCCTCGAAGTCCAAAGTTCAAAGGGTGTCTTACTCACTGATTTGCTAGGGACACGATTCACTATATAGTTTGCCATCTTTAATGCTTCTCCCCAAAGAAACTGAGGTAGAACTGACCTGCTCATCATGCTTCTTGTCATCTCTATCAATGTCCTATTCCTCCTCTCCGCCACACCGTTTTGATCAGGCGTCCCAGGTGTGGTGTACTGAGCTTGGATGCCACACTCTTCTAGATACATAGCCAGCGGTCCCTTTTGTTGCCCAGCCTCGGTGAACCTGCCAAAGTATTCTCCTCCTCTATCCGATCTCAAAACCTTAATTGTAGTGTTTAATTGGTTCTCTACTTCTGTTTTAAAAATTTTAAAACAATTTGGGACTTGTGATTTTTCTGAAATTAGAAAGACACTTCCATACCTTGAAAAATCATCAATGAAAGTCACAAAATAAATATTTCCACAGATTGTTTTAACTGGAAAAGGACCACAAACATCCGAATGAATTATTTCTAACAGTTTTTTACTTCTTGTTGCGTCCTTTTTCTTGGTTTTAGTTAACTTGCCTTTGTAACAATCCACACACTCATGCAAGTCATTAAAATCCAAGGCTGGCAAAATATTTTCATGCACCAAACGCTGCAGTCTTTTCTTTGAAATATGACCTAACCTTCTATGCCAAAGCATGGAAGAAAGATCATTTGATAAGGGCCTTTTCATTCGAACAGAAGAGTCTAGAGTGTAACAACTCAAATCATTCATGACAACACAATCTAATTTCCATAAATCATTGTCTAAAAAGCAAACGCCCAGCAATTGACTCAAATTATTTTTCATAAAGATCCTTATGCTTTCATCATCACCAACGAAAGCAAAACCGTCTTTTACAAGTCTTGAAGCAGAAATTAAAGACCTAGTTAAAGTAGGAACATAAAGTACATTTGAAAGTTCTAAAATAAAGCTTGACGACAACTTGAGCTTGAGGTTGCCTATTGCTTCCACAGCCACTTTATTCCCATTGCCCACATGCACTTCAAAGACTTCATTACTTGTTGACATTTTTCTTGAAAATCCCTGCAAGGAATTGGTAATATGCACCGAACAACCAGTGTCAAACCACCAAGTATTTGGAGGGGCTTCAACAAGTAAAGTTTGAAAACAAACAAAAACATTGAAAATATTTGTACCTTTTCCTTTCTTCACTGCCCATTTTTTACGTTTCTCGCAGTCCCTTTTCAAGTGTCCATATTGTTTGCAAAAATAGCATTTCACATTCTCCAAATTTGGCCTAAAGTTTTGAGGTCCTCTAGAGGAAGAAGCAACATTGGCAGTAGTAGTGGAGGAATTAAAAGGCTTAGTCTGCTTACCAGCATTTACCATAGGATTCTTACTTGCATTATAGTCAACAAGGTTCACCACTGCACCTTTTGCACGATTCAGCCTGCTCTCCTCTTGTGCACAGATAGAAATCATCTCATCCAGACTCCATTTCTCCTTTTGAGTATTGTATGACACCTTAAGCTGTTCAAATGACTCAGGAAGGGATGAGAGAGCCATGTGAACAACAAAGGAATCATCAATTGGTACCTCCATCCAGATCCTTGAGCTTGGCGGCAGCCTCCACCATTTTCAGTATATGCTCCCGGACACTCGTTTTGCCATCGAACTTCTGAGAAGTCAGTGTGGTCATCAGGTTCGCCATCTCTCCTTTCTCGGACATCTTGAATTTTGCTCCAACAGCTTCAAGAAAAGCTTTAGCTTTGTCACATGATGGTATGCCACCTCTCACAGCCTCACTGATGGACCTTTTCATGACCATGAGAGCCATTCGGTTTGACTTCTCCCATTTCTCAGACTTCAATCTTTGCTCTGTAGTGCTGTTCGCTGTCACAGCAGGTGGTTCATCCTCCCTCAGTGCAAGGTCATAGTCCATCAAGCCAAGCACGATCTCTCTACATCCTGTCTCCACTTTTTGAAATTCCCTCCGTTAAGTGGTTCAATGGAGGAAAAGCTCAGTGCATTCGCATTCACTGTCAAACCAAATAAAAGTTAAACAACATTGTAGACAATGTTACAACTATCACAGTATATGCAACACCTTTGGGCAAGATACATTGCTGCAGTTTTTTTTTTTTTTTTATACACATAAAACCATATGCATCCTGATTACATAGCCCTTTTAACAAATACTTAAGTTACAACACATATTTCAAATCTTTGGATAAGAAAATAGTTGGCTCAAACATTCATTAAAACCTATGTACTGATTCACAAATCCAACCAGTTAACCCTCTTCTCTTTGGAGTAGTACGTTATCATGTCATGACTTATAAAAACACAACCATGCCACCGTCCTTATAAACAAAATTTCTTAAAAAAAAAAAAAAACTTCACTTTGGTAAAGCTTTACAAACATTTGTTTTAAATGGTTTTATCAGCATGTATCCTTCAATGATGTTAAGGTTGGAACTTAAATCATCTTAGCGCAAGATCCATTCCTGTACTTGTGATACTCAAGAAACCAAATCATCAGGAAAACGCGAAAAGACTAATAAATCAATTAAGCAAACTTCCTTATACGCATAAAAGAATCTATGAAGAGCTATTATACGCTCTGATACCAAATGTTGGAGTTTTAATATAGCCGCAAACATAGATTACGAACATGCATCAAATACTGTGATTGTAGTTCTGACCTTGTGAAGCCATTGATCGCAGGGAAGAAAAGGAAATCTTCTACTCAAGGAGGACCTGATGTTCTTTCTAGAATAGGGCTAGATTTTCTGATATATGAACGTGTTCCTCTTGAGCAGGGACTTATCCTTTTATAAACGTGTAACCACAACCGTTTCCACCTATCACAGAAACTGCTTGGCAAAACTGCACGCTCATTTACATTCCAACGTGGGATATCCACTCACCAACACGTTTAACCCTTAATGTCCTACTTTAAAGGAAAGAAGTTTATTTACCTATTAACTCTAACTGTTCTCAGTTTTCACTAAACACAAAACCCGAATGAGATAAGTTTAGAGTCCAATAAGGTTCCAACAATGCACTCTCCCATCCTCCTTCTTAAACCGTTGATCTCACTGACAAGGCGAGAAGTAGATTTGGTGCGTCATGTCTTCGGAGGAAATAAAAACAGAAACTTGCCAACTCGTTATCCTCCAAAGTGGTAATGACATCTATCCTCTAGCATTTTTTACCTTGATTAATTTGCTGCTGGCCTGCTAGTAACTTTAGTTTCATGTCTTTTGTGTTTCAGGCCCTGGAAAGTCAGCTGGATTATTAAAGCAGCAGGGCTGCATTTTTTAGGGCTCAAAATTGATATGTAACTGAAATATATGTACAAACCAAACTTTTATATGATGGAAGGAAAGTTTGGCAAAGTTAATCCCATTACATTTCCAATTCAACCCTTACCCAACTCAACAAAATCTGCATTCTTTGAGGGATGAAATTGGTATTTAGCAGGTCCTAGTGTATGAAATACAAGAACCAACCTTCGTAACATGCTGGAAAGGAGAGTTGGGCAAGTGTTTGTCCTCAATACAGACTGACCTCACAACACATGCCCAATTGAAAAGAGAGATTTTTCGTTGTGATCGTAACACCGTCATGTAAATGGTGGATATCAACTTGTATTCTAATGTATTTTGTTAACTAAAGGGGTGTGATATCTACACATCTCTTTTTGTTTCTCACACCTTTATAATTATCGACGGTAGGATCGGGTGAATTGAAAAAGATCAAGAGACAGAAATTCTATACTATAAAACATAAGGCTCATCATATACCCATATATGGACATGTGGATAGTACTCCATGACGGTTTCATAGTCAAACAGACAATTAATCCTGCATTTTAAAATTAAAAATGTTACATATAGTGCACGATTGACTTAAATTACACCAGCATTCCTTTCTCCGGGTATGTATCTGCCAAGTCAGCCGCCGGAATCTGTGAGAAAGAAAAATAAAAAACTGTAGTTGTTTTCTTTAATCCGGACAAAAGAGTCGCAACGTGTACAAAGAGCAAAGGTTGACGTGTCGGCCTATTCTACTCATACCCTTCGTCCACCTTTCTCCTTCCTTTCCTTTCCTTGCAGTCTCTCTCTCTCTCATCAAGGTTTAAACCTGATACCTAATTACTTTTCTACTTTTTTGCAAAAAAATGGGAAGCAAGCAAAAAATGGTACTTTTGGGTAGCGTTTGGTACGGGACGGGACGGGACGGAACAGTGGTCCCATGTTACGTTTGGTACGTGCAGGACAGAATGAGAAAGTTGTTCCGTTCTGCGTTTGGTGCACAGGACAGAGAACGAAACCAAAATATAAAAATGACTAACTTACCCTTGTTTGTAATTAATCCGCACAAAAGAACAGTTGCGACTAGACAAAAATAATAATATGGCTGAAGGGCTCCAATTCCAGGAATGAAACTGGGAACTCAAGGAGTTCAAATTAACTGTGAGATTTTTTTTGTTCAGAAATGAACATGTTTTTTAATTTTCTGATTTTATTGCTGCAGCAAACTAATTAGAAGGGAAATCCCAAAATCAAGTCTTATATTTTGGAGGCGTGTTTTCACCAAATCAATGTTCGTGTGTCCCCAACAAATTGAGTGAGTTGATGGCTGTTGCATATAAAGCTAGATTGGAACTCTAATACATTAGGATGGTGGGTTCCAAAAATTTAAGAGTATGAACAGAAAGAAAAACGCATCAGACCTCCTGGAAGCAATTTTTTTTTTTCAGTTGCAGATCGAAGCAATACAAAGAAAGAGAGACCGAGAGGCAGATCGTACCTGGACTGGAGATGCAGAGCTGAAGTTCACAAAGAAGGTTGCAAAGGGGAGATGCAGAGGATGAGGAGGAAGGTTGCGAAGGGGGGAGATGCAGAGGAGAGGAATGAGGAAGACAGCGGCAGGTAGAGAGAAGAGATTGTTTTAGGGTTTGTAATGATTTAGACGGTGTAATTTTTGAAAAAGATATGGGGTATATTTGTCTTAAAATGGTAAAATATTGTGTTCCACAGGCGTGGAACAACCCGTTCCAGGGGGTAGACACGGGACACAAAAACACCCAAATTTTGTCCCGTGGAACAGTGCGTTCCACCCTTTTTTGGCGTACCAAACGCAGGACGGAACGCCTCGTCCCGTTCCGTCCCGTCCCGCATACCAAATGCACCCTTGGGGACTTGTCAAACGTGGTTCTGTTCTGTCCTCACCCAATTTCCTGAATGAGGATCTTCTCCAGATTTTCTTTGTGAGGATTCTGAGGATCTTCAAATCGTATTCGTTCATCGTACATCAAGCGATCATAAATTATTTTAAAATTTTTATTTAAAATTAAATATAAATAGTATATGATAAAAACTGATTGCAGGATATACGATGAACGGACACGATTTGAGAATTCCTAAGATCGAGAATCCTCTTCTCATTCCAATTTCCTTAACGTATTGTACGACTAATTGCATGCAAATGATAACTTGGGTAATCTCGGTTTTATGTTTGATCATACAGATATTTGATTCGTCAGATACTAAAATCTCTCCTAATCTATGATAAGACTGACCAAATAAATTAAGATAAAAATATTCTTGAGCTCATTTAGTCAAAACCACACTAGTATTCGAAATCTCCGTACTCTTTTTCTTCGCAATTGATTGGACTAAATATGTTCATAAATTTTAGTTTAAGAAGCATTGGTTAATGATTGGGAGAGAGTATAAAAAGAAAAGAGGAGGAGAAGAAGGGCCGGCCCAAGCCAAGTGCAAGCAGGGCGACCGTCCAGGGTCCAAAATAATTGGGGGCACCAAAATTATTAGGATGACATATTTATATATGTTCTCATAAGAGTATAAAGTTATAAAATTTGGTTCAATGACAAAGAAATTTAACTATAACTGGTGGTTTTGTTGTTTGAAATTAATAAGGAGGTCTTGGGTTCAAAATACCATGTGAGCTTATTTACTTTTTAATTTTTACGAATTTTTGTTTAGTTGTTAATTTATTTTTAATTAGTAAGTAGTAGCTATGTGGGTTGTTATTTTTAAAACATTTGTTCCAATTCAAGTCTAATATTCAACAAAGAGTAATGCGTTAACCAAATTTGCAAATCATATGACGTGTTATAAAAAAGTTTAATTTACTACCCATTTATTACTTATACATATCAATTAAAGACTAAAAAAAAATCATTATTTTTTTAGTCCCATATTGACAAGGTTAGTAAATAAGAAAAAAAACTCACGATTCATACAAAAACACTTTAAAAGTTCAGATGAAAAACAAAACTCATATTTATATACTTGTAAACCTGGAGTTTTTTTGTTTCCTTTTCACGATACAAAATAAATTAGTTTTTCCGCGTTTCTAAATTATTAAGTTTGAAGTGTTTTTCTAAGTATAATTTTATCGATGTCTTAGGTATGAAAACAAATAATTTTCTTATATAAAATGAGGGCACATTTTGTGGTGTCGGGGCCACAAAAATCTGTAGACCGGCCCTGGGAAGAAGTCTTTGTTTTTGCTTGGAAATGAAGAGGTCTCTTGGACGTTGTTAAACATTTGCTCAAT